GATGCGGAGGGCGGTAATGGCGAGGACATGGCGGCGCCGGCGGCGGCGACGGCAGCCATGCTGGGCGATCCTGGGGACTGCTGTGTGCCGCGTAGCAGGCGAAGAGATGCGTGAGATGACTTCAAGCGGCCTCTGGGTAATGCGCCAGGCTTTGCGCCTTTGTCGGCGACTGGCTCAATGTCTGGAGATGTTGTGCTCCCGCCGTATCGGGTTTTTGAACTGTGCGCAGCGCTGGCAGAAAGTAGCTCTGTGATGTAATGAAGAGAGAGAAAGAGAGCAGGTAAACAATGTATCACAGCTTGAATGTGGAAGAAGATGAACAGCGAGGATGGCAAAATACGTCGATGTTGGACAGTATCAAAGAGAAACCATCGCCAGCGCAAAAATGGAGGGGTTCGTCGTCTGTCGTCTGTCCCATGGAAGGGATCAAGGGCCCAGACTTGAAAATAGCGGGGCACTGCTGTCGCTCACTTGCAGCAACCGCAGCTGCAACCCTTTCCCTCCTTCCCAATTTCTCGTACATACATCATCGTCGTCCACGTGCAGCATCGATGTTTCAGGCTTATGTAAGACCGATGGATGCTCCTCCGTCACTCACGCCGAAAGACGGTCTTCCCTTCAACCTCGGAGCTCGACGTACGTTTTTACGTTGCCTTACTCCTCCTCAGCCAGACTCAGATCTGTCTTCGTCTCCAATGTTCAATCTACCTAGTATATTCATCAACAAGTACCGCGACCCTTTGCTCCGGCCCACGCGTTGCCCTTATCCGAGGTACCTGGTACTACCAAGCCAACCGAGAACGAAAAAAACCACCAGCGGCGCGGACCCTGTCAAGTCGGCAAATCCCCTTTAGCGCTCCTTCGACTTGCTCACCTTTGCACTAGAGACTGCTTCCCTCGTCCCAGGCCCTGGGGACCCTGTAGGCTTGTTGTTACCTTACACACACACAACACTGTACCACCACGACAGGTTCCGCCCGACTGCTTCTGCCGCTGCCTGGATACCTGCCTGTCTGGTAACTTCCATGTCCCATTTCCTTGAGTGCCTGCTTCTTTGCCGCGCTTTCTTGTGTGGGCGGGAAAATCCCCCCCCCAAAGGGAACAAAATCCACTTGGGCGGCCGGTTCCCGCGGTCCACACTTCAACCACTCAACTTTCTTTCCCCTCGACTTTTTTTTCCCTTTATACTTGTACCTCTCTAGCTTGGGATTCCAGAAAAAAAAATATCCCAGGGCATGGCAAAATTGTCCTCCGGCTCTGCAGCCCTTGCTCTCCTCCCATCATGGCTTGATGGAGAGGACATTCTCTGATTCCTCTCGAGTACCGGCTCGGCCGTTGCCCTCGCGGCAGGGAAATCCCCCTTTGACACAAGAGCTGGTGAGCCGTCCCGCGCCTTTGCCTTCTTCTCTTTGGCAGATCCTCACAGCTAACGCCAGCCAGCCGTCGCAGCAGACAGAAACTTCTCAACGACGGGGGCGAGTCCGGAGCTCCAGCTGTCGCCTATTGCCTCCCAGCAGCCATGTTGATCTGCTGCTGTCCACGCCCATGGCGAGACTCGACCGTCCACCGCAGCCGACGAAAAGCTCAGGTCGCGCAGCCTGCTTCCCCTCACGTCATCCGCCCCGGTCGCTGCGAGGTGAGACCAGGCTGCGTCACGACACCCGCCTTGCGAAAGCCCTCGTATAAAGAGACTGGCTGGGAGTCTTGTCTGTTTGTCTGGCCCACCCACCGCCGAAATTTTATACATGCCATCACACGAGTCGGATGCCGCAAGCAGTCGAGATTCAAATGTCCGCTGGATAAGTGCCAGCACAGCGTCTTTTTGGTTCGTTTTATTATTGTTTCTTTCTTTGTTTTGTTTCTTTCATATGCTCCCATTGGGGGCTTCTTCTTCTAATCCTAAAGAACCGACCGCAACTCCCAACTCCTCGCAATGCCTCGACCAAGGCTAAGGTACTATACACCGGTCGTTGTCATCTCCCTCGAAAAGATCCTTCCTTCTCCCAACCCCCCCTTTGTCCGATCCGTTCGGGAGGACCCCTTCAATACCAGCGTGATTGGAGAAAAAAAAAGGGAGAAAACATTATATACACCTCCACACACCCATACTCATACAAGGATGCGGTACCGGATTCGGTCGGGGGGGAGAGAGTGGGTTTTTATGATGCCGCTTGGGCTTGTTGAGCCGCGGGAGGTTGCGGCGGCTGCGGTTGCTGCTGCAGTTGCGGTTGCGATTGCGGCGGTGGCGGTAGTACCCTATTCCCATTTGCTGCGCCGTTAACCGCTTCTGGGGGAACTGTCGGCCTCGCTCGGAAGATGTATGGGCTGAGAGGAATCGTGGCCCGGAACTTGAGCGCTCTTGTGTCATAGGGATCAACCTCATACACCGGTGGCTCATCGTCTTCATCGTCAGAGTCATACTTCCACCGGTCCGAGTACTCGTACGCATCTGTCCGAGAAGGTGTCGAAAGGCCTCTTCTATCGATCCACAACCGCTGGAGTCGGCCAATGCGGCGACGAAACGCCGGCTGGTTGGTTTGCGATGACTCGTCCGTATCCGCACCACGGAACTGGACTATGGGCAGCTCTGGCTTGTCCAAGTCCATGGGCTCAGGTGCGTTATCGACATCCATCGAGTCTGAAGATGTTGACGCCGGCGGCGTCATCAAATACTGCGTCTTGGCAGGTCTAAACTTGAGCTCCATCCCCAGGGGTTTCACCGGCGAAAGCGGATCTCGAGTGAGATCGATGTGGTTCTGGTTCCACCGCCGGTGATTCTGCACCTTGGTCTCAATCTCATTACGGAGCTCGTTCTCCTTCTCCGCGAGCTGGTCGGAAAGCAGCACAAGGTCCTGTTCGTGTGAACGTCCATCGGGCCGCACCGGCACGCGCACCTGCGTTGGTGGCCGCGGGGCCCCGGGGGCTTCTGCAGGCTTTCGCTTCTGAGACTGCGTGATTGCAACCGTGTCAGTGCCAAGTGGCATGATCCGCGTGCAGGGCCGAGCTGGCCTTGGTTCGCAACGTACCTTTTGGTTGACGAGGTCTTCGTCGTCGCCCTTGATACCCAGTCTGGTCTTGATCTGCTTTAGCCTGGCCCTCTCCTCGAAGATGGCCCGGTCCATCTGCAACAGATCTCGCTTCATCATCTCTCGCTCGTATGCCAACAGCACGAGCTGACGGCCATCCTCGAGCTCGCGACGGAAACGCTTGAGCGTCTCGGCGATCTTGGTATCTCGCGACCTTGTCTTCCTCGTTTGCCGCACCTCCCGCCGTCTGAAGCAGACATATGGGTCGGTGTCATCAGTCTCCTGGTGTGTCTCGAACTTGATGGTCGGGCGCAGCGGTTTGTTCCCAGCCTCCAGCCGCCTGGACTTCCAGTACTCATATATCTGCTTGGCGTGCTGCAGTATGGCTGTAGAGCCAAGCTGATTGAGGCCCGGCACCATCATGTCATATGCGACAATAGTGTTGTCGACTGACGCGAACGGAGTTTGCTCTGCCGCGGTGTCCTCAAACACCTCCATGATGCGTTCGAAGTCATCCTCACTGAGCGTCCCGGCCGCGGGAGGATTACTATTATATGATTTGAGAAATTCATTGTCCTCCGTTGTCATGTCATAATGACAGCTGATACACTCCTCCACCGTCTGAGAGAATCGGATATAAGAGGAAGGCTTGTGGAAGACTGCGGGATAGAGGCTATCATAGCTGATGTCGCTCTCTCGCGGTGGAGGCACGGGGATTTCTTGGTCATTGCTTGTGCCGGCCTCTTTCAGAATGGATTGAAGGTGATATTCCTACAGAGCAAACAAAAGAAGAAGAACAGGTCAGTAGACGTTCAAGAAGAAGAAGAAAAGGAAAAGGAGGATGATGGCAAAAAAAAAAAAAAAGGGAGAAACATGATTCAGTAAGATAAAGAAAGAAGAAAAATCAATGCACAAAAAGAAGAAGATTTGAAGGACAGAGGCATCGCATCGATATGCAGCACTCCATATGAGGTATGCCATGAGCAGCTTATAGAAGAGGTATGTATGGGGGTCGATGAGGGGCCACGTGACGGTGCACGTGATATCAGAAGTTGCGGTGGCGCGGATATGGTGGTGAAAAGGACTCACGTTTTCCTCGGTCTGGTCGACGCCGGTCGCGATTTGCGACTCGGTAAGCAGAGATTCATACTCGGAAGCATCGATCTGATCCTCTCTGAGCACGGGAAGAAGGGTTTTGACCGTCAACTTCTTGACTCGGACTTTGCGGGATGACATGTTGCCAGGGTGGTGAAGGACGGCAGAAAGCCAGCGGAAAATCCGCAAAAAAAAGAGCTCAAGTCATAAATCGAGACGTCCCGAGTCGCCTGTCGATGAAAGGAGGGCGGTTCCGGGGGTGTTGTCGGGGTATTTTGATGGCTCGTTGCTCGCGTTCGATGAGGTGACGTTGAGATTTGTTTTGCCGCGCGAAGATTTTTCACTGGTGCAAAGCCTGGAAATTGGCGGCCCTTGTGTTGGATGCGGCGCTGGGCATGGCCTTTTGGGGGCACTGGGCGAGCCACAGGAGGAGGTCGCAGGTCACGGCGCCATAGCATTTGGCGGGCGCGGGTACATGGAGGGCGCTCGGGCCACCC